AATATTGGAAGCTCTCCACCCAGTTATGCCTTGTCATCATCCTACTGGCTGTGTCTATGGAACCCAGTTTGTCCCAATGTACTAGATATTGACCCTTTTTAATCCTGCAGAAATGTCTGGTGAAGAAACCAGTTTAGTGACTGATGACTCTATCATGTGGTAGGTAGTGCTGGTTTACTTGAAGTGGTGGCATTCTACCGATTTGTGTGAACCAGTTTTTAAAATTATAAAAGTTTAGCAAGCCAGTTGTTGGATTATCCGAAAATAATCTTGTATATTAATAGCCAATATATAATAGCTAAATAGATAATACTATTGCTGTAAATTCTGTAGAAGCTGAAAGAGGTTATTTTTTCTGTGATGAACATAATTTATTCAGACAAAAGAAATTCTCTTGAAGTTAAAAATATGGCAAATCTTCTAGTCATAAATTTGATAGGTCTTCCATTGGATCTTTGGGACTGAAGCAATTCAGTTTGAATGTGACTAAGAAACCATAACACAGCTGATGACAATAGTGCCAAAAAGGATCCGACTTCTGAACAGAAATATGATGAGAACAGAATTTCAATGAAGAAATATGTTAAATGTTTTCTATCAAATTATCAAAATGGGTTTATTCTTTTTGGTCTCCATTCTCAGATTGAAAAGAAAATTAGCAGAATAGGTTCTTAAAGATTACTTATCTTTATAGAACTGGTTCCTAAAAATTTGGGATGCCATTATTGTTTACATGATAACAGTAGCACTTACCTGTCATCAAGGAAATACCATTTACTTGGACTTAAATGATATAAAAGTCTTCCCTTGATGCTGATTCAGTTTTTATGGGTCTATAACTTTTTGTGAGAATCCCATATACTGACAACTAACATTCATATTATAGATGTAATATTCTCATGTCTTTTTGTTTGCAAGCCTGACACCAGGGATTTTCATAAAAAAAAAACAAAAAAAAATTATGTAAAAGGAATAGAAAAAAATGTGAATGTCTAATACACCCATATTAAAAATTTAGAGAAATTCCATCTCTAAAATTTTAAACTTTCTCTACTTATTGTATCAATGACTCTATTTATCATAATTTTTCCTTGTGAAAAAGAAAAAAATGGTAGATATATATTTTCTTTGATATTAATCTCTTATGAAATTTCTGTCAAATACTTTTCTTGTATATTTTTACATCATTATCATCTTATGTTATTATATTGTAATGTAACATTAGACAGCTCCTTACAAACAGTGCCAAAATAATCCATAAATCCAATGACATAAAAAGACTAAAAATTATTGAAGCCAGCTACATCAGACAAAAACAACTATGTATCAATAGAAATAATTATAGTCTCCAACCAAATGTTCTCCAGTATGTGTGTGTGTATATATATATATATATATATATATATATATATATATATATATATAAAAAAAAAGAAAACCTCATCACACATGAATGAGGCATGTTATCATGATATGTGACAGAAAAGACATCATTCGTTTTGGATTTATTCCATCCAATTTTCATTATAACTAACACTTTAGATGTACCACTTATCATTTTCTTAACCATATTTTACTTATATACATATTATTATTTATTATTATGACAGTCATAAATTCACTACCTACATACCCCTGCTGATAACACACATGAATTGAAAGCTCAGGCATTGCAGTTGTATTAAGTTTGGAAATTTTTGTACAGCTTCAGCAGCTAGAGTGTTTATTTATGTTGAGCTCAGATTGTTAAAATTATGCGTTTTCTGTATTGCTAGCACACACCATATTGACTGGTGTAACTTTTGCTCCTAGTTTCAAATTGTTGAAAATATTACAATATTAGCTGGTGGGTTTGATTAACAAGATAATCTAAATATTTAAAATCTCCCTAAAAAAAAAGGAAAACATTAAATTACAAAAAAAGAGTTAGTGAGAGATTTCTTGAAAATTCATTTGCAATGATCTTTTGGCAGAAATTTCTTGGTTTATTTTTCTTATCTTAAAGCTTTTCTCTTTTGTTTCTTTCCATTGAGTTGTAATATAAACCATGTCATTTGTTCATCAATTTGTAAAACAGCAGATCAAAAATTGGATTCTTTTAATGCTTTTATTTTCTAACGTTCTTTCTTTCATTATTTGGACTTTCATTTGTTGAAAAGATAAAAGAAAAGCTAATTTTTTTTTTTTTAAATCTAAATTTCTAAGATCAGGTGCTATTGATTCAGTTAGGGCAGTTTCCTCATCATTTCTTATTGTTTTTTTTTTTAATTTTAAAGCAGTATATATGCTATTGTACCATTCAGCTTTCTTCTCTTGCCTGTTGCATTTGATAATTGTTCTTGTCAGTTAGCTGGTTCTGTGACACTAATGCAAGGAGAGACTTCAAGATTGGGTCACCACAAAGGAAAGAAAAGGATTCCACAAGGTTGCAATTTGTAGAAAGACACTATTTGAGTGAAACTTAGTTCTTAATAATGGAAAACAAAGGGAATGAGGGTAGTTAACTACAGTGTATGTGGCATGACAGATCATAGCTGTGAAGGTTAGAACTAGTAGAAATAGGGAATTTTCATTAAAATTTCTGCTATAATTTTTTTTCCCAATATTTTAAATATATCCAGGTAATTTTTTTCAAATTAAAAAGAAAAATTTTAATATGGTTGAATACAATTATCATTGGTTTAGGCCATAAATTATAGGATGCATTGTACACCATAGATTGTGCAATTTTATTTTATTTTTTCCTGATCTGACTGTAATAAATAAAATGAAGAAATAATTTTTTTTTTTACTAATTTCCACCCTATACAAGGCTCAAGAGCCACTCGAGGTAGAGGGTTACTGAAGGAGTTTGTTGTATGGGAGGTAAGATGTGCAGTGGGAAAAGATAATGGTTAATCCTAAACTTGAATAGGTTAACATTGTAGTCAGTAAAGCATCCACTTGGGAATTGATTCCACAAGGTAACAGTTTATGGAAAGACACTATTTGAGTGAAATTTAGTTCTTACTGATGGAATACAAAGGGAATGAGGGTAGTTCACTACGGTGCACATAGCATGATGGAGGATCCTAGCTGTGAATGTTAGAATATGAGTGGAGCTAAGGAATTGTCTTTAGGATTTCTGCTACAAGTTTTTTTGTTTTTTTTTTTTTTTTGTTTTTTTTTTAGCATATTGGCTATATCCAGGTTATTATTATTTTATTTTTTTTAAAAAATCTTAACATGATTGATTGTAATTATCAGTGGTTTAGATTGTCTCCAGATACAAAACAAAATATAATGAAAGAGAAAATGTTTCCATTCTGTTTCTTACGATATGTTCTGAGATAACTCCCAAGTATTATCCATAAAACTCAGCTTATGGTAACATCTTAATTTCAGTTTTTACTTATATTATCCTTGGTTTTCCATTATTTAATAATTTTCTTTCTCAGAGTAACGATAAGTTATTCAACATTGTACAGTAATGGTAATATTGGTCGTTTCCTTATAAGGAAAATTCATCATTCATTGACCGAGTACTACTTTTAGATGAAATATATAAAATTTTTCTATCGGAACAATTTTTCAGGAAAATAAGTTTCTCAATTCTAGTAAGTGTTATTGCTCTTTCCAGTACTGAGGGAGGGGGTTCCTTCTGAACCATTGGTTTAAAATAGTGTTAAACATGAACATCTTGATTATGTATTTATTCTTTCTTCAAGTTAGATGTACTGACCATTTTAATTGGTCTATGAAGTTTGAAGAAGGATGGCCCTTACTAAGATCTACAAGCTTTATTTGCTCAAAGCCATTTTTAACCTGTGATCTGAGAAAGCTCTCAACAGGTTTGGTGTCATAAATGATATCTATATAAAAGTCTTTATCTGATGAAAACTATTTAGGAACATTACTCAAGTTTTTTAGGTTAATGTTTTGATTTTGTAGCAATTTGTGGTATTGGGCAAAACTACTCCCTAGCCCAGCCTATTGTATGATCAATTTTCTTATCTCCTACTAAATGGATAATCAGAGACTTATTGTTTGGCTGTCAGTTGTAAGTAGAAGAAATCCAAATACCTGAATACATCTTCACTTTTTTCTTCTGTATGTCATGTCCCTTCAGGACATGGATGATCATATCACTCCACAACTTCCTGTCCTTTGTAACTTTAATCAGTGTTTGTCCTCTTACCATTCCCTACCCCATAGTCCATGTTTTGCTGTCTTTTTATATAATCTTGTTTAGTAGATTACTTACTATTTCTGTCTGTCCCTCCTGCCTTCAATATATCAAATTCTTCAATCACTCTTTCCTTGTGTGTACGGCTAATTAAAAAAAAGTATGATATATATTTTTAATAAAAAAATTCACATGTGGTAGTTACAACTAATAATACTGAAAACAAGGTGTTTTCAAAAGTTAACACAATACAAGGCTGAAGAGTCACTCAAGGTAGAAGATTACCAAATCAGGGGTGTGATATGAATGTAAGAGGAGGTGTTAGGGAATGAAGATTATGAAGATAAGGAGGATAGATAAAGATTGACCCTGGTCTATGAAATCCAAGGCCTTTTCCCACCTGTTGGCAGAATCTCTCCTTGATTAACCATATCTTCAGTGGTGTAGCCATAGCCACTATGCTTGGCCAATTACGGATTTGGTGTGGTTATTTAACCCATAGCTAGAGATATTGAATTCAGTTGTCCTTCTCTTAGACGGGTTGTCACTCAGTCTCCCCTGTATTTTACCCATAGTTGGTGGGGAGAAATGGATTTATACCTTTCCCAAGGGCATTTGTAAGTGAATGTAATGAACTTGACTGGAATTTGAACTTGGCTCTCCAATTCCTCAGTCCAAGTTGCTATTACTCCACCATGCCTCTGCACTATAAGATAGAGAAGAATAAATATAGAGTGGACATTTTTATTTTACAATTTAATTAGTCCTTCAAAATACACTCGAGCATCATATTGTTTTCTAAAAATTGTTTTTCTACTTTTTTTTTTTTTTTTAGTATGACTGTCCATAAGCATGATCGTTTCCAGAAGGCCTTTAATGCTCCGTCTGTTCGGATGCAACAAATCAGTGATTCTGTGTTTGTGTTTATTAATTCCATGGCTATGGAAGGTGACAACTGTAATTTGTGTGCTGATGCTGTAAGGAGGATGAACAAAATCTCACAGACTCTCAAATGTTGGCAGGTAAGCAGAAACATCAATTCATTTTTTCTTTTTGTCTTTAACTCACTCAGTGAATTGTTTTATCCTACTGTTTTCAAAACTTTTTTGGCTACAATCCTGAATGCACACTTATTTTTGCCTGGGAGAAACATCTATCTTTCTGATTTATATCTGAATTTCTGGGATGAGGAATTATCATTATTTACACTATTTACATTTAGACTATTGCCCTCATTGTGGTTGTTATCACAATGTTTTGTCCATTGTCCCCTTCGGCCTTCCTTAGTTGCATATCAGTTTGCATAACCTATGGGGAATTCCAAACTGAACCATTTCTTTAATGTACGGGAGCAACCTGTTCTTGTTCCACTTCTCATATCTAGAGATCTCGTCTAGTTCTAGTTGGTTAATTTTGTTTAGAAGCATATCAACTTCTATGGGTTATTTAATGCCAAAATCTAAATATTTTGAACACAATTTTATGGTTTCTGTTACAGATAGAATGTATTGTTGGTCATCTTACTATATAAATAGCTATTGTTGGTCATCTTACAAATATTATAAAAATTAATATTTTTACTTTCATAGTGTTTTGTTTTTGTTTGGGGTTTACTATTTGCCCATAACTGGGACCCTAACAGGTGCTACCACTGTCGGTCAGAGTGGACCTGGGAACAACAGCAATTAAAAGATGGTGCCATGCTCCTCAATACTGCCAATTTACCAATCAGAGGCCTTTTTGCTGGATGTAGTTTATCATCATGCCCAGGACTATTTATTGTCTAGTTCTTGTTTTTAGTACTGTTCAGTTATTACTCTCTCTGTTTCCACAAAGTTCAAGTACACACTGTCTGTGATTGAACTCTGAATTACTATCAATACCTAGTTGATTAACATGTTGAGTCATGAACTCTGAACACACAATTATTTTTACTTGGCAATCCTCAGAAATATCTACCTCTCTGTTTTCAAACAGAAGCTTGCACTCAAATGGCTGATTATTTCTGATTACAAATCTGTTTATTTTCAATCATCCAAAATAGCATTTCCAGTAATAAGTAATGAGACTGTGATTGGTGAGTATGTCAAGCTCTAAATGTTTTGACTTACTAGTAATGGATGTAAACATACTGGTGTTTTCATATATCTATTGCAGTGTTTCTCAACACTTTTTAAGTCACGGCACAACTAGGAGTAAATGAAAATATCCTAGCACACTTTAAAATTTTTAAAGGGTATACTTTTAAATTTTATAAAATAAAACCCTAGATTAAAAAAAAGAAATATTCACAACAAATATGAACTTACTTTATTTAAATGTTTCTATTCATCTATTTGTGCAGTGTATTTAGTGTGAAACCTGTGCCTGGTGTGTTTTTCAATTTTTTTCAATGTTTGGTTGAATGTGCAATAAGCAGACCCTCATTTCTTCTTCAGTTGAGCGTAGTATTTAGGGTTGAGAAGCCTAATTCACATAAATAAGAAGTAGAAAATTGCAATAAAAATGATAAAGCCTTTTTAGTTAATGTGTTATATTCCTTTTGTAGTGAAATCCAAAATGTATCAATGGGTACTGTCAAATGTTTTATTTTGAGCTCTTGATCACTAGAAATAGTGAGTAATTCTTCTTCACATAAGTCGAAATATTAGAAAAAACGTTTATGAAGAGATTTCTGTTGAGAATCACTGGTCTATTGACTTACAGTAATTTCACGTTGAAATATCAGTTGTCATATGATCACTGGATTTAAACAATGTCGATCCTGGTCAGTACCTAGATGGGTAACTACTTGGGAATACCAAGTGCTGTAAGCTTGGATGTGGGGGTGGTGTAATGGATAACAGCTTGGAATTGGAAATCGGAGAGCAGAGTTCCAATTCAAGTCATGTTCATTATATTCACATATGCTCAAATACCCATAGGAAAGGTATGGATCCACCTTTTCTCTCGTAGCTATGTGTCAACTAGTAGTACTTGTATCTGTAAAATCATTATTATCTTGAAAACATTCTTACAATGTAAACATATTTTCTGACTTCTAACCTGCAAAAGGTTGATAAGCTGTAAACAAACAAAACAATCATACATCTATTGTATGCTTTATTTTTGTTTTTATTTTATTCAATTATTTTCATTTTCCAGTCTTGATGAGGCTTTAGATTCCTATTTTTTTTCCCACTAATTGTTCACCCAATGCAAGACTCTAGAGCCACACAAGGTAGACAATTACTGATTGATGTTGGTGCATTTTATGAGGATATTTAATAAAGATAATAGTTAATCTTGGACTTGAAGAAGATAAGATTGTAATGTAAATATATTTGCACTATTATTTGTTTTTTCGTTTTTTAACATTATTTTTTTTTTAATTTTCTTATCTTTGTATGTCATGACCCTCAGGATCACCCTGTGACCTTCATTTAAATTGTGACCATGAGTTTAGAAAAAAAAAAAAAGAAGACAAGTAGCTTTTTCCTCCCATTTTTGTTTCTATCTTGTACTTTTCTTCACAGTTGTGCTATATTTTTTTTAAAATCCCTGACATAATCTACTTTGCTACTCCATTTTATTTACTTTATTTGCATGTTAATGTCCTTTTTTTTTTTGTTGCTATTATCACAATGTTTTGGCTGTTGTGCCCACTGACCTTCTTCAGGTGACTTTCAATCCAGGTAACCTTCAGGGAATTCCTTTATTTAATCTAGTAATTAGAAAGTCTTTATTTAATTCGTAATTAAATAGTGGTATAGTAATTGAGGTCAATCTCAGGGCCGGGTAATGCAGAAACAGGGCTAGCAAGAACTGAGTAGTACTAAAAAGTATCCCTAGACCTAGACAACACATAGATTGAATAAAGGGTTCAGTTTAACATTCCCTGAGGGTTAACCAGATTGATAGACACCTGAAGATGGTCACAGTAGTTGAAACATTGTGATGATAACAACAAAGATAAAGACATTAATCTGAATGTAAATAAAGATAACCCTTCATCCCAGAAATTCAAGCAGGTGTTTATTTTCTTTGAAAGAATTAAAATAACTCATTTATTGTCATTGTAGGGAGCTGAAGAATATTCTCGTGAAAATTGTAAAGATATTGAACTATCACCTTATTCCCGCCCAGTTATACTTCAGGTAAGCAACTGCCATACTTTTTTTTTTGTCTGTGTGTGAATAATTGCAATGATCAATCATGACTTTCAGAGAAACATTTAAGTACCTGGAATATTTAAAGAATCTAATGTTTCAAATGCAAATAAAGAGAAAATATGAAGAATATGGGCTAAAGACATAAAAGTAACCAAACTACCACTTTAAAGTAAACATTCCAAAGAAAATCATTCAAGTTGGAAGTACCTGAAAACTGACCTCTCAGAAATAATGATTATTGTAGAGCTACATTGGATGGACCTGATGGCTGGCCTAGAGATGGTGTAATCTTTCACACTCTTATTATTATAAATAGTAAAATTATTGGTCTCTTCAAAGTTGCTGATGAAGTAATAATAAATGCAGAGAATAAGCTTTAGTCCAAGACATTTTTTGTGTGGGACAGGATATTAGCATGAAGTTTTAAATGTTCTTTCAAATCCTGTCAAGCTGACTGTTGCCCACCTAACTAAAAAAAAAGATGCTAAATTAATGGAACAGTTCTCAGCAACTCCAGATATTAATCAGATAGAAAACTTGTGATCCATCATGAAAAGAGATTTATATGTGAATGCAAAACAATATCCCCTGGAACCAATAAAAACTGGTACAAATAGTGTTAAATGTGAAACAGTAGAAAAGTTAACAAAAGCAATGAAGATTATAGAATGTTATGGGGTCCATGTGAACACAAAATTCAGCCATATTGGATATAGTGTTAATCAAATACATGTTTCTATGGCTGTTATCTTTCAGATTTATTTATAAATAAAAATTTGTTTCAAGTTGAATAATAAAATCTGACACTATACAAATATTTTTTAGTAAATGTATAAGTTGAAATTTACATGATATATTGCTCATGCAAATATAAGTAACTCCTGAAAATTTTCCCAGCATCAGTTGGTTAATACTAAGTTTATTGGGACAACATTGATTTGAAGCATGTAATCTGACATTGCGTATTTTGCAGAAAACTCTTTGTCGATGTAACTGGAAATTACAATTTTAATAAATAAAAAATAATTTCAAGATTAAAATATACAAATTTAAAAAATTCAAATGCTTTCGTTTAAAGATTTGGAATCAATGAACAAAACTTGCAAGTGGAAATTAAATTAACTTTACAGAATTATTTAGGTTTTTATGAAAACAATTTTGGTTGAAAGCAGCTTTTAAATCTCTGCATCTTTTAAATACCATTAGAATATTAAACATAAATTTCTATAATTAATTTACTATATCATTATTATTTATTTTTTTATTTTTTTTTTTTTTTTTACATTTGTTGTATTTAATTTTAATGAGTTTTAAAAAAGACTGGTAACTGCTTTTTTGCATCATCATCATTTATTCAGTGCATTTTGTGCTTCTATGATTACCCTTGCCCTCCATAATTGCAGTTCATGGTGACATTGAAGGCAAAACTAGTACAACAGATTGCAGATCCCTTTTGCACCAGGGATATTGAGGTTCATCCACCCTTCTTCTCAGAAGTTCCTCTGCCTACTAGTAAAGCTATTGACCTCTGAGATGCAGCTCTCATGTCCAGGCTGGCCACTGACTGATGATCACTTGGCACAGGTGGTTTGGAGAGTGGGGTTCCCCTTCACCGGTTGGGAAAGCCTTCCAACTATTCTCAAACAGTTTAGTTGGCAGGTTGTTGCTGTTGACCAGGGTGTGGCCATTGCAGTGCTCATGTGACTTGGAGCCTTGTATGAGAGTTGGATGTAGGCCCTGAACAAGCATCTCAACTAACCTGAGTGAAGCAGGATCAGCTGCTTTGCTACAAAATATACCCCATACACCCGTTTTTCTCATAATCACGTAACTTTAATATTGGCCAAATTTCTGTAGCAAAATGAATGTTCACAAATCCAAGATGTAGTAAAACAAACTGGACCTACACACAAGCCCGAGGATACAAGACGTTCATGATTGATCAGATCAAAATTTGTATGTTCTGCCGATTTCTAAATAAATGAGCTAGAAAGATGGTTTGGGTTTTTTCTTTTTGTTTTCAGCAGAGCATACACACAACCTGTGGGCGTTTTGTTTGACTACTTTTATTGCTACAATTTCTTGGTAGAATTGACAACTATGAAACATTTCTTTTAATTTGAACAAAACTAGCCACTTTTTTTTTTTTTTTTTTCTTTATTTTGATCTTTATCTTATTCCCGGAATATTTCTGTTAAAATTCATGTTTGTCTCAAAATTGAAGCTATTCATCATTTAGAGTAAAATAAACAATTAAAGAAAGTGGGGGAGGGGAGCTTCAAGTGAATATTGGTATCTTACTCCTATTTGAGTTCAGTATTTTACCCATTGTTTCTGGACCCTTCAACTGTTTTAATTTTTAAGGTTCAATTTGACTCTTTAGATTGTAGATATTCTATACTGACACCCCTCCCCTCCCCTGCCCAGTGTTCATATCAACTCTTAACATTTTAGGATCATGTGTAAGAAAAATATACTTTATGTAGTTTACTTTGCTTACAATATTTAATGCAATATACAAAGGTGAATTAATCATTCCGTAACCTGACATGTAGATACTGTGTGAATTTTTACTATATGTGTTTGATCTATGTGATTAATATTCACATCTAAATTAAGTGCATTAACAGATTTTATTTTATTTAACTTTTTTTTTTTTTTTTTTTTAAATCATTTCTTCCCAAGTAAGGTGATAATGCCACTTAGATGCAAGGTGTTACTGGGAATGAAAGAGAATAAGACTTTAGTTAGGAGAAAAGATGATAAAAGTACAGGATTCAGGAAGACAAGATGACGATTGATATTGCATTTAAATTTTTGAAGATTGTTGGTGGCAGTGAAGCAAGAAGCTATGAGAGAGTTCCAGAAGGGAGAAAATAAACTATTAGGATAGCGGTGACTAGCTATTTCAATAGTAAAACAATGAAACCTAGTTGCTAATCTGTACATTTAATCGAGGTACCAAGCAGGAAAGCTCATTAGAACAACTACTATTAAAATATTTATAAAAAAAGAAAAGGCAAAGGGAAGCCATGTCATAAGGCAGGAAAGTGACTGAAGTTGAGGTGCCAGGTCAGGACCAGTAACATTGCAGACCCTTCTTTAGATTTGGTCAAGAATCTTGAAATATATACCTGGAGCACCAGACCAAATATGGCAGCAATATTCAATTCACAGTTGAATGGTAGATTTATAAATGTGAAAGATAGATTCTTAAAAGAAAAATTGTCTGGCATGACACAATGAACAAACTTGTGGGGATAGTCTTGTTATATATGTATCAACAGAAATCATTACCTCTAAGTTTGTAAATGTTTTCTAAAAATAAAAATGCTCAAATTGCTTACCATATTTTCTCTTCTACAATACAAAATACAAAAAAAATAAGTTTTGATGTTAAGATCAAAATATGCATTAATAATATAGAAAATTAAATCCAACTATGCATAAACATCTGGAACAAAGATTTGCTGACTTGATGTCCTAACTGGATATGCAGCTTATGTTGGATTTTTTGTTAATGTCTTAAAGATGAAATATTATTGCAACTGACAAGTAAAACTAACCCATCCATGTTACAATTTATGATGAGTGAATTGGGCAAGTTTTGTGAATTTATTTACCTTGGCCATAAGTTGTCATGTGAGCTGGGGCAGCTGCTGTTCAACATTGGATTGTCTTCAGGTGTGCTAGCTTTGAGGAGGCTAAAGAATTATTAATATCTAATTATATACCTTATAGTGTCAAAAGTAAGATCTATAATGCCTACATATTACATGTTGTTCTTTATGGAATCGAGTGTGTAAGTTAGATGTCAACTTAATGCAAGAAAATTCTTTCAAAATTATATCCTCAGTTTCCTGACAAATCATATCATTTCAAAACTGAAGAGCTTGAGATAATTAAGCTCATACTTATTATAACCATCATGAAAAGTTAGATGTTTAAAACTATACATGCTGTGCATGATATGCGCTTAGGCGATCATGTATCTTTCGATACATGACTGACTAGGCAGAGTTTTTCCCGCAGTTGGTTGCCATTTCTTTCTGCAGTAAACCAGTTGCCATCCAAGGATATAGAACCCAGTCTGTTCTGCTATTTACCCATAGCTTGGTCGGAGAAGAAGAGGATTCATATCTTTCCCAAGGGTATTAGCACGTAAGTGAATGTAATGGATTTGACTGGAATTCGAACTTGGCTCTCCGATTCCTCAATCTGAGATACTATCCATTACACCACCGTGCCTCCTTAAAATTATACAGTCGCATAAAATGCACTAAATTGGGTCTTTCAAAAATCTGATTAAAGGGTTTGGTAATTGTTAAAAGAACTTTAGGTAGATGATATAACAATGTGTCTGAATGATCCAGCCTTGATCGAACAGTGTTAAAGACAACTATTTCAGCTTAGTGCACAGGCAGGCAAAGGCTGTGAAAGAGATTTAAAAAATAAAATAAAATAAAAGCAACACAAACCATATTGTCAGAATGAAAAGGTAAATGATTATATGGAAAATTATTTTTAACTACACATAACAGGGATTCTCAAACAAAAACAGCAAAATGTGATTTTTTTTTTTTTTTGTGAAGTTTGGATATTTACCATAATGGCATTTTAACTAACAAAAAGCTGGAATAGATTAGAATGAAACTTTCTCCACCACAGTGTGTTTATAATCTATAAGGACTTTAATACAATTAGCTGTTCAACGTAATTTATTTGTCCACAAAATGGATGTAAAAACTGCATACTTAAATGTGCCAATTGACTGTGAAGTATATGTTTAGCAGCCAGAGGGCTATTTTATTACCAGCAAAAATAATGACAAACTTGTATGATGATTTTTAAAAAAAAAGTCATTATATGGACATAGGCAAAATTGGAACCAAGTCTTGCACACATATTTAATTACTCAAGGTTTATCTGGCTCCTTAGCTGACTCTTGCATTTACCCAAAAAAAACTCTTTGAATAAAATACTGATTATGTTTGTTTGGGTTAATTATATACTCATTACTGCAAATTGTAATTCTGCATTAATTAATGTAGTAAGATGTTTAAATGAACAATCCAAAGTGACTGATCTTTGACAGCTTTCTTTCTAGGTATACTATTCACATTTAAAAATAACTCCATAGAGATGAACCAAACAAAGTATATAGAAAAGATTGCAGACCTCAATCAACACCTTTGTAAAGTGGATGTCAATATAATGGATGAACACAATGCTGAACCAGCAGATAGAAACTATTACCAAAAAATAGGTAGCCTGATATATATTATGACTGCAACTCTTCCAGATATGTCATGGGGTAAAAAAAATTGTCACAATATTCAGTAAACTGAACCATGGATCACTTCTTCTATTTAAGAGGTACAAGAATATACTGTTTAGTGTTTAATAAATCTAGTAAGACTTTAAGTTTAAAAGACTTTTTCAATGCTGATTGGGGAAATTCAAAAGATTGCTGCAGTATTACACGGTACAGTTTTCTGTTATTGTCAAACCGTTGTATGATTTCTTGGTAAATGTGCAAACAACCTACAGTAGCAGTGTCAATATGTGAAGTGGAATATATGGTATTAGCAGCTACAATAAAAGAAATAAAATTTCTTATTCAATTATTAAACACCATGATTAATTCCAAAGAAAATGAGTCATCCATTGTCTGCTGTGAAAATCAAGGTACCAATGTTTAAAACAAGTCAACATAAAGTACCACTTTATATGAACTGAAATTCTAAATGTTACAAATTTGGACTATATTCTGTCAGACCAAAATATTGCTGATTTATTTACTAGACCTATCGGCAGAATACAATTAAATACATTTTTGAATTTTCTACATAGAGCACAATCTGGAAGTTTTTGCTTGCCTCCTTTTTGTTTCTCCATTTTTTTCTTACCCCCCTTAAAAAAACCTGTTTAAAACAAAAAAGGAATTAAAATTGGGATTTGAAAAAAAAAATTTAAAAAATGCATAAATATATGTATATAAATAAAAAAAAGTTTTGCAATATTAAAAGATATTAAAAGAAAAAGACTAAAACCAATGTAAATATTTATGTGTATCTTGTTTGTATTTTATTGGCTCCATAGAGGAGGGGAATGAGAGTCTTCATTCATTTGATTGAAGTGAGTGTTGCTTTCAATCTGTAGGAATGACTGCATAAAGTTCCTCTCCTTACAGCCATATCATGTTAAAACATTGGTTCCAGTATGATCACCAAAGTTAAGGAACTTTGAGCCTGATCAATATGTAGATGGGGGACTGCTTGGGAATACTAGGTGCAGTAAACTTGGATGTGTGGGTGGTGTAATGGATAACTGCTCAGAATTAGAAATCAGAGAGCCGAGTTCCAATTCCAGTCAGGTTTGTTATATTGATTTATGCACAAATACCCTTGGGAAAGGTATAAATTCACCTCTTATCCCTCAGCTATAAGTTAATTAGTAAGGCTTGAAGCAGTAAATCATTATTGCCAAAAACTTCTTACAATCTAAAAGTATTTTCTGTCTTTTAATAACCTGCAAAGGGGTTGATAGGCCATAAAGAAACAAATTAATCAATGAATCATCAAAATATCAGTCTCAGTTTGCTGAAATACAGCAGTAAATATTTTTAGTGGCTTTAAAACAAAATGGCTTTTCTGCTTTCTTTTACAGCATTTCCCAATGTACCGATCATCTGATATCAACTGTAGCACCCCAGATGCTGCACCTGAGCCTAGAAAATCTGTCCCTTTTCGGGAAAATTTTGACTGCTTGTCAAGAAGGTCAACGAAAAAGGTGAGTAGCTATTCTTGTGAGATTTCGATATTTAAATAAAAAGATTTCTTTTTTCACACTGTTTCTTTTTTTAATGTTGTGACAGAGAGAGTCTGGGAAACACATGTATGTGTGTGTGTGTATATATATATATATATATATATATATATATATATATATATTTTTTATTTTTTTTTTTTTTTTTTTTTTTTTTTTTAGTGAAATTAGGTGGATTTGAATAGCGAAATTAGGTCAGAGCATTTTGTTTACTGATGAGGAAATTTGATCTAGGGTAGAAGTTGTACCCATTGAATCTGGATCATCAGAAGACAATGGAAATGTTCGAAATAATTTTTATTGATTAAAAATTGAAATAGAGCTGAGTAAGCTAGAAGGAACTTTTGAATTCACATGATTTCGGTTGAAACAGCTAAAACCCAGTGATAATCACGTGCGAAGTAGTAGGGCCAAGGTTCAGTTGTAACCAGCCAGATTTTTCTATATAAACATGTAGTTAAGAGGCAGACAGGCAAGTGATGAGATGGGAGAGAGAGACTGGCGAGTGTTGAGATGGAAGAGGCAGATGGAAGAGAGAGACAGAAGAGAATTAGCCTGGGCAAGAGTTGGGCTAGAGGCAGTGGAGAGTTGAGTTGGAGACTCAAGAAGAAGAGAGTGACATCAGAGATTGGAACGAAGCATCTGCTAACATGTGCTGTTGATATAAGTACCGCTGCTTCTGCTACCACGAATATTACTACTACTGTTACTACTGTTAAGGAGGAATGTCTCTATAAACTTTAAGCTGCGCACAGAAATCTTATTCCCCCATCGCAAGAGTCGTATATTGTTCTGAGATGATTTAACAAGTTAATCATAACACTCTCTCTGTCCAGAATCCAGTATATGTGTTTTTACATCAATTACTTTTCTTTTCTGTAACCCGTTTCTTTTCTATACTATTCTTGTCTGCTATATAAAAGACATTAACAATTCAATCATTAAATAGTTGTTTGTCCAGCTTTCTGCAGACATTAATTTTTTTTTTTTTGCTGCACTCTAAATTTCTTAGTGCAGACTCTCCAGCCATGTCTACATCTTCAGTCAACTGTGAATGGATGAACATCACTTCTGCTTTCTGGATCAGACCAAACACAACGTGGGCAAGAAGCAGGATTAAACCAGTGGTCCGGTTGAATTATCTACAGCCACTCCCTTAAGTTTGGTTAGGACCGAGTAGACACACTCAACCCAGAGAGTAAGACATCAGAGGTTGAGGGGCTGGGGCAAAAGTGTTAGAATGTGCTCTATTTCTTCAGGATGTAGACAATCTTAACTCTCCACAACTTCCTATAATTTGTAACTCTAAGCAATATTTCTTCTTTTACTATCCCTCCTTGTCCATGTTCTGCCATCCATTTACACACCCTCATTACTTGCTCTTTCCTTTTACCTCTCAGTATACTCCGTCAGTGTCATCATCTCCCCAAAATTTCAGGTACTTTCTGATCCTTAGCATATGTCCTTTTTATTTCCATTAAAACTTTCTCATGACTCACATGTTCCCTCCAAGGTATTCTCAAAATCCTTCTATAGAACCATATCTCTGTTGCATCAAGTCTTTTTATCTCTGGGAAAATTATTCAGCATTCGTTGTCATATAGGAGGATTGATATTATATAGCCATTCAGTTCTCTTTTCTTTGTTTCTAACAACTTTTTACTCGTTTCTTAATATTTTGTTTAGCTTTTGGAAAACAACTTTTACACTTTTGGATTTCTGTGTTGCATTTTAATCATTTCACCCCATGGAAGGTGATAATGCCACTAGGACACTAGGGGGATACAAGAAGGGAAAGAAAATGAGAAGACTTTAGTGAGGAGAAATAACAATAAAGGAAACAGATTCAGGAAGGCAGAAAATGACAATTGATATTGCATTTAAATTTTTTTAGCTTCTAGTTGCCAGGGAAGTAAGAAATCAGAAGGGATTTTGAGAAGTGTGAGAAAAGAAACTATTAGAATAGAACTGATGGTTGCATCTGATCTGACTAGTTCAACAGTGAAATGGTCAGATCTAGTTGCCAATCTAGTAGTACACTTCAATTCGATGTTCTAAGGAACAATTATCATGAAAATATTTGTAGAAAACACAGAGGGAAGCTCCATCATGTCAGAGGGAAAGTAACAGAAGTTAGGATCAATTAAATTACAGACACTTTGAATTTTTTCAAGAATCTCAAGATATATAATAAGAGCATCTGACCTGATATGGCAGTAATATTCAAACCTCAGACAAAGGATAAAGTTATAAATGTGCACAAGGGATTTTGATGAGAACTGTTTGATATGGCACTGTGAACTAACTTTCCTAGCAGCAGATGTAGCAATTGATTCAATATAATCACTCCACTTCAAGTCAACAGAAAATGTGAATCCAAGAAGGTGCAAAGTGCTGTTCACGTGGACTTTAGTATCAACCATCAGGTGATTGCAGGCAATAATAGTTTTCTGTGGTGACTAAATGAAAGCACTTTTGTTTTAGAGGCTTTAAAGTTTACAAGCCATTCCTTGCCCCAGTTAACCACTAATTGGAAGTCTTTTTTGAAGGTAGTTGCCAGTTCTACTTTGTTGGTTCTGTGGGACCCACTATCAAGACAGGAGTTAACAAATACCTAGCTAGGATTTGATGACATCTGGAAGATCATTAATTAAGATCAGAAATGGTATAGGTCTGAGGATAGAGACCTGGAGGACATCTTTATTAATATGAAATAAACTAGAAGTTTATACATTCACCACGACCTTGGTTATGTGATTTGTTATCTGTTACAAAACTTCTCAAATAGTTAAATTTCTGTTCTTGCTTGGTTTTGACATCTCCAATTTGTAACTTGCATCTTGGGCTTTCCCTTTTGTTAACAACGATATATTCTGTCTTCTTACATTTGATGGTTAATTGTTTCTTCTCTTACTACTATCTCTTGAAGTTCCTGCGGTTTTCCTTATGCATCCGTTATCAATATGGTCATCTGCATATCTTATGTTGTTAAGATTGTATCCATCAATAATAAACAATGGTAGAACTTCTTAGAGCTCTCTCACTGTGAAGGTTAAATAAATCCTGTGAGAAGGTGTATCTTTGTTTTATGGCCCTTTTCATTTCCAGTTCATTTTCTATCAATATGTAGGTATCTTGTTTCCAGTAAATGTTCTGGATTATTCAAATCTCTTTCCTAAATAAATCAAGCTTTCCTACTGGACTGTCCTCTCAAATGATGCACTTTGAAAATTTGTAAATTTGTTAAATAATATTTTGGAAATTTCCTCCATTTTATATATATATATATATATATATATATATATATATATATATATCTTGTATTCCCTTTTGTGCATTTAACCAGTACAAGTAATTTCAGTTTTACCTGATCTCACATGAAACACATTTTCTTTGAAATTTCCATCTTGTACATTTTCCATTGAGAAAGAAATCAATATTTTATTTCAGGTTGTTTAACATGTGATTAACTTCTAAACAATAAGACACTAAACAAAGGCGTGGTGAGTGAATTAACAGACTAGTTTTTTTGTTTTTTTGTAATAGAAAAAAAAAAAAACTTCAGATATAAAAAGGGGGAAAAATTCAGTCAAAAATGGCTTCCGTTTTGTGAAAAGGTTATCAGTTCTAGAGAGCAATTGGGCAGTATAAATAAACATAAAAATTGGTGAACAAATGGTCTTATGACTTTAGTTTATCTAAGAAAATTATATTATCAGATAGAATAGACTGCCTCACCTATTAGGTTCTATTTCATTTTTTTTTTTATTTACCATAATCCTTTGTGTATAGATTGCTAGGGAGTATAATACACATTTTAAAAGAGCAGAGAAATTCCAGGGAAAAAAATTTTTTTTCATGCATAAACTGCACCCAATTTTAGAGCATAGAAAATCACCAAAACCTTTGAAAAAAAAAAAAAGAGAAAAAAAACAAAATTATTTACTTTTGTGATTCATAAGCATTAGAAAAACTTGATAATGGCTCTTGGGGTATAAGAAAACTAAATCTACCATTTATTCAGATGTGAAAGTAGAATAATATGTCATATTTTTATTATTTCAAAGTTCCCAAGAAAATTAAATTTTAGTATTAAATGGCCCATATGGAATTGATATGCTGTTAAACAAATCTAATCAACATTTTGTTTGAATTTGCTCAGCTTAAGAAGTCTCGAGTAAGTGTTTGTATGCCAGGAAAATATTTGTATCCACCTCCTGATTGTCTCAGTACTGCATGATCCATTGTCATACAAAATTATATTCTAAACTTAAATCTGTTGTAGAGTTTGCACATTTCTTTATTTGGCATCTATGCCAATGGTTAAGATTCACACTCTGCATAGTTTACTGTCTTACATTTATTTGTCTTTTGTAACTGATCTTAACAAAAAAGTGTAATCTACTATTTTGACTGTGACAAACCTCTTGGCAAAAGTTCATTGGGCTAAGACATAAACTAGTTGTAATATAACTGGTCAATTTGTTGTTTTTATATTTAGTTAGCCAATTAAATAGCATTGTATTCATATGAGTGACATTTACACAAGAGTATTTTATATTTGATATGTATTATGACAAGAATGCTTTGCTTTGGTAAAAAGTATCTTTTTATTCTCGGATCTTATTTTGTGATAATGTGTCTAACTAGTCAGGTTAGAATTGAAACTCCGGTTTCTCAATCTCTTTGCTACTTCATCTTTATTCACTAGTTCAATCTGGAATAAATATCTCTGTTCCAGGTTTGCAATTTACTGCAATGCTTATAAATATAATGTTTATCTTATACTCCAGGAGTGTTACATAGAAGAATGATTGGCTCTGATTTGAAATTAAATTTTTTCTCTTGTCTAGACT